TGAAGAGTAAAGGACACAAGTGATTTATCCAGGTTCACCTTAAACAAGGCTAATCATCTCCACCCCTCAAGAATAATTTCGCCTTCAACATAGACTTAATCCACTATAACCAAACTGATTACAAATGCATGGGCAACAACCAATGACTAACATACAATGACACATTCAGTGATGCAACCAGATATAATGTTCATTGACCCAATAAGGTCAGATCAACATGATCTCTTACCAGGATTTATTCACAATGATATCCATCAATGATCTCTTAAAAATTCAGACCTTCATTCGGTCCCCTAAGAGATATGACTACCATTGACCCAACAAAATATGATCACTTAAGATCTCCTATCACGATTTCATCACAATGACCAACAACCATTGTCTTCTTGAGATCAGACCTTCACTCAATCTCTCAAGGAACCTTCAATGATATGTTCAATGATCCGATTTAATGAATATAACAATCATTGACCCAATAGAATCAGATCACTCAAGATCATCTATCATAATTTCCCATGATGACCAGCAACTACCGTCTTCTTGATATCACACCTTCACTCGGCCACCCAAGGAATCAATCAACAAAAGTTGATAAGGTTCTCGTGTTTACATGATTGCTTCTTCTAAGCAGATTACACAAATGATTTAAGCACGTATTGTTTAACATATTTTTGAGAAACAACTCTAGTGTTAAAACAATTTACATGAAGAGATTTGAACTGTAACACAATATGAGCAACAACTGTTGTGTTCATTACAATGTTCTATCAAGATGTATTTGATCAAAAGTTAAGTAGCATCTTGTAGTCTTCTTCTTCTTCATCTTCTGGTTGAGCAACTTACAAGCAACAACTCCTTGCTTCTTCTGAGATCTACCAAGATGTATGTAATTAGAAGTTGAATAGCATCTTGTAGTCTTCTTTTTTATCTTTCTTTCTTTTCTCTCATTTCTGTGTAATGGTCTTCAGAATGTTTAGAATTACAACTTTGACACCTTCAACACCCACATCATTTTAGCTTGATGGCCAACGACGACATTCTTCTTTGAATCTTTGATCTTCTTTTATAGCCTTGAAAGAGATAGACGTTGTGAGGATAGAAAAGTTTTTTCCTGCACCAACGGTTAGTTCCCAACGGATAGAATAAGGTGTAAGAGTTTAGACAATATAAAATAATACTTTCTAGATCCTATCACTATTCACTGATAGCTTTCCACCTTTTCTTTGAATAATGTTTTTTTAATAAGCTTGTAAACAGAGATCCGTTAAGTAAAGAAAGATAGCTGGAAATCCAGCCATTTGTTTCCAACGGTCACAATGAGAGTGGTTGACAATACAATACAAATGATTATCCTTACGCTACCCTAGAAGGTAGAGGTCACAAACACTTTATGTACCTTTTGTACACCATCACACATTAACTATTTTGAACTTCTTCTTATCTTTAAAGGCTTTAGATAATTTGAATGTTGAACATTGAAGTTTGTTGTAGAAGATTCACTCTTAAGTTTTAGAACCTAAGTCTTGGAGTCTTCAGAACTTGTCCTATCATAACCTTGTCTTCAGAGTTTTCAATACTTGGTTGTAAGAACTTGTTTTTCTTAAGATCATCAGAACTTGTTCAGCAGAAATTCGTCTTCATAATCTTCAGAATTTGTAATATACAGAAGCAAAGCTTTAGAAGGCCTCCAAAGCTTAACCACTAAGTCACGACCAAAACCTCTTGTACTAACGTTCCTAAGACACGTTGCAGAAGATGTATTTCAGAATCTTGACTTCAACTGTAACACGTAACCACATGTTTTCTTCCAGTAGTGTATGTTCAAAATCTGATGATGTCACACGCCTTGATACCAAAGTCAAAATATTATAGCAGCAACTACGCACTAGAACGAAACCATTAGAGTATACAATTGTTCTCCATGATATCATGTAAATTTATCATCAAAATCTTAAGGTCAGATGTAGAAACACTTCTTGTTCTTACAATAGTTTCCTGGAACAATCATCAATAAAGGTAACAAAATAAAGTATACCACTAAAAGACTTTACCTTTAATGGCCCACAAATATCAGAATGTACCAATTGAAGCAACTTTGACTTCCTTGATGGAGGATGTCTCTTGAAATATACTCTAGTCTGTTTATCATCCATGCAATGAGAACACTTCTCCAAATATGTATTCTTTAAACCAGGAAGAACATCCTTTTTGGCTAAAACATTTAGCCCTTTTTCACTAATATGACTAAGCCTTCGGCGCCACAAAGATACGTCCATATCGATAACATTCACACTGTCCCTAACAACCAAAGCTTTTGTCCAATATAATTTAGAAAACTTTTCTCTTCTAGCCACAACCAAGTTATCTTTGTTAAGTTTCCACTTTCTAGAACCAAAGTGATTGTCATAACCATAATCATCAAGCATATGCACAAAGATCAAATTAAAACGGACATCCGGAGTATGTTTGACACCTCTAAGCAACAATTGCACTCCCATGTTGGTTTGCAAGCAAACGTCACCAACACCAATTACCTTAGATATATCATCATTACCCATCTTCAACACTCTAAAATCACCAGAAATATAAGATGTGAAGAAATCCTTCTTTGATGTAACATGCAATGTAACACCACTGTCAACTATCCACATGCTCTCGTCTGATACGAGATTAACAGACTCATGATCACGTAGAATAACAAGATCATTACAAGTAGCAGTAGTAACACGATCATCATCACGATCATCATCACGATCTTCATGATCTCTTTGTTTAGACTCACCTTTCTTGCCTTTGCTATCCCTTTTCCACTGATAACAATACTTCTGTATGTTCCCTGTTTTGTGATAATAATGACACTCTAGATTTTTGTATCATGGTTTGAACTTGTTTCTTCTATTATCTCTACCACCCTTTAGTTCCTTTTTATGACTTATCCCCATATTTTCAATGACAAATACCTCGGATTGAGATGAAGAATATTGTGCCTTCCTTCTCATCCCCTCATTAAGAATACCATCCTTAGCTGTTTCCAAAGAAACAACACCTCTAGGAGCAGAACTTGTAATAGAAACCCGAAACGTCTTCCAAGACTCTGGTAAAGATAGCAATAGGAATAATCTAAAAAGTTGGTCATCAAATTTGATACTCATTCCTGACATCTGATCAAGGAGTCCTTGAAATTCACTCAAGTGATCTGAAATAGAAGTCCCCTCCTTATACTTCAAACTTATGAAGCTATTCAACAAGAACAATTTATTATTCCCTGATTTAGAGGCATAGAAAGACTCAATCTTCACCCATAAAGTTTTTGCATGTGTCTTATTAGAAATATGATTATAAACATTATCTTCTACATCTTATCGAATAAAACCACATACCTGTTGATGTTCAAACTCTCATTCTTCATCAGACACATAATTCAGCTTTACGAAACTAAAAACTGGTAAATGCAATTTCTTCACAAATAGTAAGTCCTTTTCATCTTGACCTTATATAAATGGTAATTAGAACCATTCAACAATACCATCTTCATCTTTGTATTTGACTTCATCATTCAAACAAGTAAAATAACCCTTAACCAAGAGCTCTGATAAAAAATTAAGACAAAATAACAGAACAATATGCAGCGGATATAATATTTTTCAAACTTGTAGGAACCTTAAAGATCAACAACAAATATAAGACGACAATCGAATAATAAAGACACAAAAAGAACACCAATATTTTTAATGTGCAAAACCCCTCAATATGAGAGTAAAAACCACGATTCGTCCAGACCAAAGAAAATAGCTCTACTATAATCAATTGAGATTACAGGAGAGTCATAAAGTGATTCACAAAATAACGATAACAATCGTAAATCACAAAGCAAACTAACTTACAAATAAGAATAAAAAAAGCTGAAAATTTTCTCAAATCTGCAGCTTCAATGCGAAGACCATATCTCTCAACTAATACTTTGCTTTGAAGATCCCAACAGTCGAAAGTTAGATATATATGTTGCGAACAAGTTCACCAAATTTCGGTTCGATCCGACAGTGAACGAATCTGTGATCGTTTTAATGAAGCTGCTGCAGAAAAAACGGGAATGAATTTCTTTCCTCTTTTCTCTCTTTTTGAATTCTTATTTTTCTCTATCTCTTCTTAACCCTAAATTGACACTCTCTATTTATATAAGTGAGATAAATAAACTATTTACATTTGAGTCTTTCTCCATATAAGAAAGGAACCCAAATCCAGTAATATTTTGTTATAATTCATTATTTGATAATGATTTTCTTAACGGTGTTGATGTGATTCTTATTTAGAAAATCAAGTTGTTCTCGAAATGTAATTTCTATACTATTTTTAATATAAATCGTCAATATTGAATTAAACTCTAAAATTAGCTTGAAAAATTGTAACTTTGAATTCAAAGTATAAATAGAAGAACTTATTTTTCGAGTAATTGACTTCTTCTTCAAAAAACAAGAATCAATTATGCCTTCGAACACAAACAAATAGTACTAAAATTTCAAATGCATTATTCTTATTCAAAATAGTTGAACGAGTTTGTGAATCCAAATTAAAAAAGTTATCTTTTAAAACCACTTAAATAGATTATACATCCGCACACACCTACAAATACAAATACAAATGATAGAAAATCTCACTTGTTGATAATCCAAATAATATATATAACTTTTCTTTGCTATTAATAACACCTATTTCTTTTACTTTTCTTGCTTTTAGTCCATTTACATTTATTTTTCAATTGTTGAAGTATAAAACAAGGGTGCTAATAACATTCTCCTATAGAACAAGTTTTAAAGCAACTGCCATATAACAAATTTTTGGGCCAAGTTGGGCCGGTTTAATTCAAAACGAGTACCTGTCCGCTTCGTCCTCCAAACCCGGTTCGTGCAGAAACTAAAAAGTAAAGTAAAACCCTGAAAGCAGGATCCAGTGTGAGTTAGAAGCAAAAGCGCTTCTACTCCATAATCGATTATCAACACACAATGGCTTCCTCAAACAATTCCATAGCTGAAAACAAAAAAGCCAAAAAACCAGAAACTTCAACACCTACCAGCAAAGTCAAAACGGAAAAAGACGTAGAAAAATCCAGTGAGAAGAAGAACAACAACAACGAGGAGAACAAAAGCAACAAGAGTAAGAAGCTCAAGTTCACCAATGGAAATTCCAAAGAAAAAGAAGAAAACGGAGTAAAACACGAGAACGACGTTGAAGAAGATGGAGGAGAAGAAGAAGCGAAAACGAACGTGTTTCCGATGAGTCGAATCAGGACGATAATCAAAGCAGAAATCAGCGATTTGCGTGTTACTCAGGAAGCTATATTGGCGATTAACAAAGCTGCGGTAAGTTTATGAATATTTTTCGTTTGTTGTTATGGATTTTTGATTTAGTGTTTGAGTTTTTTTTTTCCTTTGCAGGAGAAATTTCTTGAACAATTAGCTTTGGAAGCTTTTGCGTATTGTGCTCAGGATCGGAAGAAGTATCTGAGTTACAATCACTTATGTAATGTTCCTTTCAATTTCACTGTTTTTTCATAAGCTATTATATTTGTACTTGCTGTTTGATTGCTTGTGTGTTTGAAACTATCTGATTTCCTTTTTATGTATTGATATGCGAGTTTATGAAGTTAGGGTTAGTCTCAAGGCCATCTTCATGATTGATATCAATGGAATTTATAAAGGATTATTTATTCGCATTTAGTAGTTTTGGTTGTTGTTGTATCCTATAATTTCACTTGTGTAGCTTTGAAACTTCATCTTGAAGGTGTGTTCGGTGTCTGATATGCGTCAGTGTCTGACACTGACATACATGGTTGCATTGAAATTATTATTTGAGTCTATGTGTTAGTGTCAATATAATGTTTGTGTCGGACTTCGTAGCTGCTGACCATAGGGAACTTAAGGGATGTTTTTCTTTGTTTTATATTTGGCTTGGGCATTTAGGTTTTTTAATCTATTAGGCTATAATTATAATGTAAATGCTTTTAAGTAAGAGAGATATATTCTGCTTGGACAGTTAGGAATTGGTATATGAACATTATCAATTTTTTACCTCCTTATTATGTATTGTTATCTGTCCGTGTATTGTATTTGACTATTTGTTACCTTGTGATTGGTTGTTTACCTTTATTGTTGTGTTTTCCTGCTTAAATATTTGTCTTGGAGTAGCAATGTAATTGTAACTTGACGCTGTTGTTTTGTATGCACTTTGAACAGGAACTGCTTGAGTAGAATTCTTAGGCATTAGGGGTTGCACTTCTTAGGTGAATAATAGGTGTGTGAGATGAGTTTTTGATAGGAATTTGGCTTCTAAGATAGGGGATATCATACGAGTCTTGTTCGGGTAAAGTGAAGCTTACAATCTTGCGGCTGTCCCAACTCTCAAATCAAATCTACTATTAGTAACTATTGAAATCAGCATGAAGTTTTCCCCCCACACTAAAACATTACAGAATCTATTCAATCAATCGCGTTAAACCTATCAATTCACGGGGGCCTGAGGGCTAGCCATGTCATATAGTATCCTCCCGGTTCATGTTATGTAGCATTTTACATGTTGATCATCTCTCCATGTGATACGAAGTGTGTGGAGTTTTCAGTTCCACCTGTTCGCTTCTCAATAATTTCAATCCTTCACCACTAGGTTCTATAAATCTATATTCTAATTGGCATGAAATAAAATTAACCTATTTTTAAGTTTAAATGGCACTTAGGTATGGTAAAAACCATTCAACTTCTTCAGCGTTGTGAAATATAAAAAGAAATGTGAACATTTAGCTACGTCCATATTAATTGACCTTTGTGCATGTTTGTTTGTTTGCTTGCTTGTGCATTGTGATTGTTAAATATTTCCCAATTACTGATTAGATAGTTGCTTTGTGTTTCAGCCCATGTTGTTAGTAAGCAAAAAAGATTTGACTTTCTGGCTGGTAACTTCTTTTCCCTGTTGAAACTTTACCCAGTAACTATTGAAATATTTGAAGTTTACTCTTCCATATATTTATTTAGTACTAATTAAAAGAATTCCTGCATTGTGTTTGCTTGTCCAGATTTTGTTCCCGAGAAAGTGAAAGCTGAGGATGCATTAAGAGAGACAATCTCTAGAGGAGATAGAGGCGGTTAGGAAATATAAAGCAAAGATAATTGATAATCTAATTCTGTACTTTTGTTTAATCCGTTATATTTTGGAATGAAAATATGTATGATGGTGAGTAATGCTCATTTACTTTTTTAGAGTGATTATGCATACTTGATGTCTAACATTGCTTTATCAGCATGGCTGCAATTTTTTATTTTCATTTTTTTTTATTGACAATTTGGTTACATATCTGAAGTTAAATTTGCCTGTAGGAAGATAGTAAACCTATATAAAATTAATCCTACTAACTACTGGATGGAAGTTGGGACCAATTCTTAAGCTGTATTTGGTCATTTTCCCGCGTTGTTGGCTCCCCCTCTTCTTTTAAAGTTCTCCCATTCAAACCTATCATGATTTTTGTTGTGAAAAAATGATTCAGTACTTCAGTTTCTACTACTCAAATGGAGCATATAGAACAAAATGATTTTTTCTCCCGCCCCTTAAATTGGCAATCTTGGATGTTTGTGTTGTGTGCACATCATGAATCAGTATCTTGCACTAGGTGTATGCTGCAAAACATTAGCAGGAATTAGTGCAGTAGTTTCTTAAGAGGAGTTTGTATGCCAAATATGTACTTGTATAGGGGTGGAAATAGGCTGGGACGAGTTAGGTTTTGCCAAGCCTAAGTCTGGTCTGCCAAAAAATTCGACCCGTAGTCTGTCATAGACTTATTTCTTAGGTCTGAGTCTGGTCTTTTCGAAGGCTTAGTTAATGTTAGTTTATGTAAAAGCCTATTATTTTAGACATATGTAAATTAGTAATTTAAATAATATTTAAATAAATTAACAAATTAAAAGATCAATGAGACTAGAAGTTTGTTTGTATTGACTTATTTTAACTTATGAGCATAAATTTTGTGAGATTATTTGTTTAAACGAATTAATGAAAACAACTTATGATATTGTTTATAAGGTATTTTCATCTTATTTTCACAAGTTTTCCAAAATAATTAAGTTTTATTTATGTATTTTAATTCAAAGTACAAAACATAGCATAATGATAATAAATAAATTATTCATATTTATTTAAATAGGCTGACTTGATAGGCTTAAAAGGTTTTTTATTTTATTGTCTGAGACCTAACCTCCTTTTTAACTAAATAGATTTATAAAAAAGTCTAGATCTTTTTTATTTAAAGAAAAAACATGGTCTACCTTAAACCTTTGTAGACTAGGCAGTAGACCACCGTTAGAAACCCGTACTGTTTTTACCTCTACTTGTAGTCATTTACAAACACTAACATTCTGTACTTATGTCAATCCTTCTTGCTTCATTCTGAGTCTCAAACCAATTCTATTTTGTTTCAGCAACATTATTTGATAAGTTTGGAAGTGCAAAGTATGCAGATTTGAAATTGAAACATAAACCATATCAGTTGGATCAACCGTATTTTGTCAACTGTAATTACTACTCGTTTGTGTTTCAGAATTCAAAGTAGTTTGTATTTCTTATTTCTTTGAAACCTTAAATTTTCCAGCACCGAACACATTTCTGGTACTTTTCTCCTGCGTATTCTGGTATGTGAAAAGTCCATTTTATTGAAAAATTAGAAATATCACGACCTTAGAAGTGTCTCCTCCAATCAAGAAGAAAACTAGACTCATATAACATATCCACTCTAAAAAAATTTGAAAATTAGCAATCTTGCCAACCACCCTATAATTAGGCATGAGAATATAACCCATATTCATGCACACCCACCCGAGTTCAATCTTTGACTGGGTTTGATTTTCCTCTGATTAATACATGGTTGATATTTTGATCTGTAATTAATTATTTAAAATATTTGAAATGTATATATGAATTTTTGTAAATTGGTTTATTTTTTATTCATAATTGATATTGAGAAAAATAAACATTTCTATTAAAAAAATGAGATTGTTTAACCTACCCTATAATTTTTTAACGCACCACACAAAAGTATAAAAATGTTCATAAAAATCAGAAATATATTTCTGGTACGCACTCATTGCTGGATTTTGGTGGACGAGAGTCCTATGTGATAGTTGAAAACTAACTGAAAATACAAGTATGTTGAAATCATAATTGTATTTTCTAAAGCACCTCAAATACACACAAGTGTTAAGACTGATAAACTCAAGTTAACACACAGATACGAATCGAAAATGTATTTACAGTTGGGACCGTAGTTGTATTTCCGGTTCGTGTTGACATTTAAACAAGTGCTGCCTCTTCCTCTTCCTCATTTTCAAAAACAATTTGAAAAGAAAAACACTCAACACACAAAAATCTAATCCTCTCAATCCCCATTGTATCAATTAATCAATTTTGCGAAAAATTCATTAGGAATCACTTACACTTCAGTGTTCAAGCAGATTCAAGCCAGAAAAATCATCATTTGTTAGTTATTTTTTAGTTTTTTGGAGTTTATGTAATTTCACCTACAACTTGTGTTTTAGGGTAGAAAATTCAAGTTTTTTTAGTGTTTGCAATGTTAGGAGTCATAAGAAACATGTTAGGTATGTCTTTTTTACGATCAATGACCATTTTTTTGAGGTCATTGGGGCTGAACTTCGCCATTGACGGAGCTGAAATGTTGCAGGTCGTATCAGAGATGCATTTCCGATTTTCATCAATGTTTAGTCAAAAATCGAAAATGCATATCTGATTTTAGGCAGTCCGCATTTTTTTTATTTTTTGAACCCGAGTCTTATTGTTAACGTTTGTTTCGTTCTTCTACAGAAGTAATGGCTGAGAGACCATCTAGGTTGATGCACGACAGACTTGCACAACATGCTTATGTGAGAAAGGAAATGAGTCAGACATTCTAGGCTCCTTCTACCTCTGGAGAGATTGTGCCAGATGCGCCTACAACCTTTGGTGTATATGTTTCTACACCTACTTCATCGTCCTCCTCCCGCAGCAGGCGAGGTTCTCTAGTTCATCTCTCTCAGCCTCCGTCCTCCCGTAGACACACTTCCTCACCGATAATATTTAAGGCAGAAGAGACATCTGATTCTCAGTCGATGTTGGAGGCCACACATCCGACACTAGAGGCCTCACAATCATAGCCTCAAGCATCCCAAGCACCTGAGGCCTAAGCAGTTGAGGCGACACCTGCTGCGTCTTAGGGTTTTGGAGGAGGGCCCTCTAATATATATAAGGGAATAAACAACGATTTTTTTGCTATTGACAACGCTTAAAAGTGTATCCTATTCCTACGCTCCTGTAAGTAAATACAACGTTTTTTGTCAATGTAAAAGCACTTCTTAATGTAGCATTTAGGCAACGTTTTATTCAATAAGTGCTCTCTAAAGGCCCCTATAGGCAACACTTCTTACATTAGAAGTACTTTCTAAAGTAAGTCTTTAGCAACACTTTCACTTTAGGCAACGCTTTTAAAAGCACTGTGTAATGTATATTTTTGTTAACTTTTTTTCTATTTTAGGCAGCGCTTTCTTAAAAAGCGCTATCTAAAATCCTTTTTAGGCAATTGTTTTACTTCAGAAGCGTTTTTTAATGCACCACTTTAGGCAGTGTTTTATGTAAAAGCGCTTTCTATTTCCCACTATAAACATTTTTTTTTGTTTAAAGTGTTGTCTAATGTTCACAAATTTGTTAATATATACAACTTATATTTTAAGCGTTCTCTACAAATAATCACTTAAAATAAGCGTTGTCTTTCAAATTTGCACTAGATTTCATAAATTCGTAGCTTCAATGCAATAAACATGCACCAAATTTACATATCTATATGTACAACTTTAATCCAATAATTTATATATACATAAATTTGATACAACTTGAAGAATTGAATAATTTATATATACATAAATTTACATATTTATATATACAACTTTATAATCCAATAAGTATGTACCAAATATACATATTACTATCTTCTAGAGCTGTTATCTTCTCTACTATCTTCTCTACAAACAACAACAATGAAGAATCCTAAATGAACTTGTTATCTCTATATCTTCTAGATATGTACCTACCTGGAACAAAACCAACAAAGGCATATAAGAACCAAGCTATATAACACTTAAATCTTATAACTATTATAATTTAACACAAACCAATGTAACAAAAACAAATCAAGAATCCGTTATAACCCACCATTAAAAATTCCCTAATTCATACTATTGTACCCCAAAATTTGCCCTCCCATTTTTCATGCAAGATGCTATCCTAGGGTTTCTCGTACACTCAATTGGCTCAAAGGTCGATCAGACAGATTCTCTTTCTAGGCGGAAAATCAACAATTAGGGTTTGGTATTTCTCATAGAAAATTGAGTTTTCAAAATTTCAAATGTTCTTAAACACAATTTGCTGAAGTTTGTTAATTCTACAAGATTGACGAATGTTCTTAAAACATGTTTGATAGACAATGAAGTCCCATTTTAATCAAGTATGACATGCGAACTCATTTTGATTACCAATTAGACATTGGACAAAAGTTGAAGATTAAGACTTTTATTTTAAATGACCATGGTTTTTGGATTCAAGTTAACCAAGTGGAATTAAATTCTTTAAACATTTATTTTGTTTAGAAATTTGATTGGAGTACAAGGTGCATATTTTGTTTGATCATTTTTTGTGATTGCTTGAAGTACAAGTTACCCAAACCAAGGTGTTTTACTCAAAGCATTCGATTGAGATTTTCGAAGTTCAATTAGAATTTGAGGTTGGTACAATAATTTTCATCACACCAAATTTATTCAAAGGCATTGTGTTCATTACATTACAAGTAAGGTGAATTTACAAATTTTTGTCTTGTTTACAAATGAAATAAATTATAAGATTTGTTTTATTTACAAAAGGGAGAAATTTTGTTTCTTCAAAGTCTTCATTGCTTCATCTTCAAGCAACCCATCCAATCTTTGCTTGCTTCCCACGCCTCATGTTCATGAAACAAAGAAGAAGAGAAAGTTAGCAAGCATTTCAAACAAAAAAGTGATACGTAAAAAAAAGAGAAGAAATTCATCATTAGGGTTTGTGTTTAGGAATAATATTTTAAG